AAGAAGGGAAGAACACACTAGGAGCAAGGCGGAGAATTCTTCTGCGAGTTTTTCAATTCCTTCATCCTATTTTCATTATTGGTTATGAATTCTAGTATTGTAGTTTTGCATACTATTATGAATAGCTAATTTGTTATCTAGGGTTTTGATGGAACCTTTTGGAGGATGATTTTCCTGTTACGTTGATATAGATTTGCTGTAGTATTTTCCCTATTTGTTCAACTAAGTTATTATTGTGGTTGGTTGAAGAACTCTCAATCGACTGTCCCTATTTAGTGTGTATTACTCGGGAGAGAGTGCATATTTAGGTAGTTGTTGAAACATCACTCCTAACGTATATAAGGGATCAATACGGAGGGTTTAAAGGTGGGATTAGGGATAACGAAACCTTGAGTGCGATCCGAGTGATCCGTACTTAGTGCCAGCTAGCGTAATTCGGGAGAATGTCTAGTAAATTGTGGTAGTTACTCGGGAGAGAATTACGACACTCAGAGCGCTCATGATCGGTAGAGAATACTTAGGCGAAATTATAGAAGACGTAGCGGGAAGGATTCCGAAAATTGGGGAAATCATAACTCTAGACCTCCTTAATCTTTTCTCCAACCCGTAGTATCTTTAGTTGTTAATCTACTACTTTAATTATTTAGTTAATTAGATATAAGAATCTTAATATTTATAACTTAGGAATTATTTGAGCTTATCTCGTTAGCAATATTGAACAACTGTAGCTAAGCCTTAGTTCTTTGTGGGATTCGACTTCGGACTTGTAAACCGGATTATATTTGCAATGACCGCTTAGTCCTTTTTATAAGGCATAGTTGGGCGTGATCACAGTTATATAAGTAAGAATACCAAATAACATATCAGTGCCTCGTGCCACCCGGCGTATGGAACGTACCGATTGCCAGCTCGATGAATGGGATTCCCGATGAAAAGTCAAGTAATGATGCAGTACCAGGGCATATAGTCATGAAAAGTATCCGTCTGGCTCGGTGAAGAGGAGGGGGCAGAATCAGGTCAGCTCGTCGGTCCCAAATATCGACCTGCGCCTCTAGCCATGCCACATATGCGTCGTCCACCCTGGAATGATCATCCCGCTGGTAATGTGTGGGTTGCCATGTGGGCGGTCTCGAGACAACCTGCGGACGGCCAAACTGGCGAAGTACCCGCTCCGTGGCATGATGCTCCACAATATCGAGGCACATCATCGGGACGGAAGAGCTCCAAATAAGTCGGTCGGCCGAGCAATAATCGGGCAGGCCACCTATCAACTCGTCGTTGTATGGCGTCCAGATGAACTATAAAGTAACAACAGAAAACGTGAGTATACGCAACACATGTGAAGCTATGCCAAATAAACTTAGGTATACATTTACCTATGTGCCCTCCAGCATATCCAACAAATCCCTGCAAATGGGGAGATTATGCCGAGCCTTGTAGATATGTACGTATCCCCGCCGGAGAACCCACCTCCTAGCTAGAGCGAGAAATGGAGGTGGTACATCCGGATGTAACGGTGGTAGAGGTGGCTGCAACTGCAGGAACCGCTCCCAGGCCCAAACCTAACATACAAAGTTGACGTAAAATTTATGATATATATTTACTAGATATGTTATAATGAATAGAGTATTCGAGTATGTTGTCACCTGTAGCAGCGGCAAAAATCCACATACGTCATGTTGGGTGCCAATAGTCGCCCGGCACATCTACCTGTACAAATAGGCGAGAACAGCAGCACCCCAGCTGTACTAGGGTAAATCATCTAGCTGCTCAAGATGATGAAGAAATCTCAAGCTAACTAGGTTCCCCGAAGTGTTCGAGAACAAGACCCCTCCAAACATAAGGAGTAGCAGCAACCTCGTATACTGGTGAATATGCATATCATCTGTCTCGCCAGTGATGTCGGGGTGCAATATCTCCAAACGATGTCGAATAGCAGTCAAACTCAGGCGATTGGCCCCTGCCTGTGCTGTCTCATCCTGTGGCCGGAAACCAGTGAGCTGCTGCAGCATATCAGGTACTGCCCACGTGTCATCTTTCTCATGCCCTGCGGCAGAGCGACGGGGTGTCCATCAACGGGTAGCCCATATAAAACCTCCACGTCCTGTAGTGTGATGGTGGCCTCACCAATGGGCAGGTGGAATGTGTGTGTCTCCGGTCGTCACCGCTCCATCAGGGCCATGACCAAAGACCAATCGAGCTGCAGCCGCCCGATCTCCAAAATCTTATAAAAGCCCGTATCCTGCAGGCATCTGACTAAAGGGGGATGGAGAACTTTGCCCTTCAGAAAATCCCACATGTCGTCCACTCTCCTGGCGCGGAGAGTCTAGGCCAGTAACTCTCCCTCCTATATGTAGGCGGACCTATGATCGCCCTGTAACGGCAGTAGCTCATCGCAGAAAGGTCCGGGATGCATAGGTGGCACGTCTATGTCGTCTACTGTAAATTAAAGAACATTAATTACATGTTTGTTTGAAAATTAAATAATTAATTTTATAATTATACAATATTTGATTATTAAGTATTCACATATAGGTTCCAGGCTCGATATTTGAGGCTCAGTACCACCAAACTATCCTGAATTCTTGTATATGTCAGTTTTATAATTTTACATGTTAGTTTCATAATTTTATATGTTTGTTTTGTAAAATAAATAATTAATTTTTATAATTATACAATATTTAATTGGACAGAGTATTCACATATGGGTTCCTGGCTCGATATTTGAGGCCCAGTAGCACCATGCTATCTTGAATTCTTGTATGTGTCAGTTTTATTATTTTACATGTTAGTTTTATAATTTTATATAATTAAATAATTAATTTTTATAATTATATAATATTTAATTATTAAGTTTTCACATATGGGTTCCAGGCTCGATATTTGAGGCCCAGTAGCACTAAGCTATCCTTAATTCTTGTATGTGTTAGTTTTATTATTTTACATGTTAGTTTTATAATTTTATATGTTTGTTTGTAAATTAAGTAATTAATTTTTATAATTATATAATATTTAATTGGACAGAGTATTCACATATGGGTTCCAGGCTCGATATTTGAGACCCAGTAGTACTAAGTTATCCTGAATTCTTGTATGTGTCAGTTTTATTGTTTTACATGTTAGTTTTACAAGTTTATATGTTTGTTTTGTAAATTAAATAATTAATTTTTATAATTATACAATATTTAGTTGGACTGAGTATTCATATATGGGTTCCAGACTCGATATTTGAGGCCCAGTAGCACTAAGTTACCCTGAATTCTTGTATGTGTCAGTTTTATTATTTTACATGTTAGTTTTATAATTTTATATGTTTGTTTTGTAAATTAAATAATTAATTTTTATCATTATACAATATTTAATTGGACATAGTATTCACATATGGGTTCCAGGCTCAATATTTGAGGCCCAGTAGCACCAAGCTATCTTTAATTCTTGTATGTGTTAGTTTTATTATTTTACATGTTAGTTTTATAACTTTATATATTTGTTTGTAAATTAAATAATTAAGTTTTGTAAATTGGATAGAGTTTGTATTTGATCTATCAGTATAAGAGATACTTAAACTACAGGGATACTATGAGTTTTTGACCAATATTGTCTCTTATCTTTGAGGGTAGGTTTATTTTGGTCCCTCAAATATAACTCTGAGCATATTTTGTCCCTTAAGTATGCTAAAGTGGAGCACCTTTAATCTCACTGACTAAATGTGTTCAAAAACTAACGGTGTTAACCAACTTTGATTCATGAAGCAAATCTTCAGCTCTAAAGCAAAAAGATTCCTCTCCTTTTATTGGATAACGCAAGTTATCACTTTTATTCCTCATTTTTAGATAATGTCTTCTAAAATTTTGACCTTGAAAATATCCCCTTCTGTGCAAGTTTTTAATGAGAATATGACACTGTATAGCCGTTGTAAAAATAATAGCCGAAATAATGTATAAAAATTATATATTATTTTGCATATATATACATTTTGTATGTTAATATACAAAATTATACAAATTTTATATATTTTTTCGGCTACCAGATGTAAATAGTTTTTGACGCAGGCTAAAAGTGATAATACAATCTGGTTATTCGTTTGCTTCAATAATATACCTATTAAGTGTCTTGGCAACTCTATTTTTTTTCCACATTTTAACTATTCTTTTTGGAAAAATCACCGAAATTTTTAAAAGTGAAAGTTTCAACGTTAAAATCTTAAATCAGCTATGTACTATTAGTGGGTGTTGGTTTATAGAATATTTTCGATAAGTAAACTAAAAAGACGGTGAGTGCCGAAACCAACCACGTAATTGATCTTGGACAGATTCTGTCAGTGAGACTAAAGGTGCTCCATTTTAGCATACTTAAGGGACTAAATATGCTCAGGGTTATATTTGAGGGATCAAAATGACCTACCCTTAAAGATAAGGGACAATATTGGCCAAAAACTCGCGATACTACGCTAAAAGGCTCTACACTTTACTACGCTAAAAGGGCACTATATTACTAGTCTTTAAGCAAATAAATAAACTAAACTGAATAAAAACAACAAACACATTTTAAGCACAAAACATTCACGAAAATACATATAAAACAGTAAAAGTAATGGAGGGGACGGGTGGGGTTCACTCGAGTTTTTTATCGAGTTAATGGAGGGGACCGCTGAAGTTTTTTAAATGGGGGGGGGGGGGGGGGGTAGGGGAGCGTTATGTTGAACGTGGGGGAAAGGGAAGGGGACGACTACATATTTATGTATAGCGCGGGTTATAAAAGTGTTATACATATAGCGCTTTTATAAATTGCACTATACATACCTTAACGTATTTTACAAAGGCGTTTTATATATAACGCTCGTTTAAAGAGCGCTATATCTTAACGTCCGTTAAAAGGGAGCTATATATAGATATGTTACTCTCTTTTTCCCACACATTTCCGTCATTTGAGTCCAAAAGAACCACATTTTGGTTCCGGACTTACCAGTTTGCCCTAGGAAAGACGGGCAAGGGGAGGAATAAACGCAACATAACTTCACTAATAGAAAGATTAACACTTGTAATAGAAATATAAGTCCGACGTTTGTCACTATCTCAAGACTCAGTTGGCAGCCTTGTAAATATCGAAAAGACTTTAAACTGGCAGCATTGCCGTAAATGTCTAATAGATGGGGCTGAACTCTCCCAAAGTAAATTTACAGGTTTCACTGCGCCAGCCCAAGCTGATACTTCATGCAAGGAATGCAAGCGATCAGACTTCTGTCAAATGAGTTTTCTCACTTAAGTTTGATGGTGATCCTTCCCACAGCTCCGCTAGCTCCTTTCTCATCCACGAAATGACAATTATGGGCCCCAAAGTTGATGGTACCTATAGTAGTCAGTCAAAGATAGGCAGAAAACAGCGTTGGGACCAGATCAGATCATGCTTGTTGTGGGAACAGAAGTGCTTAAACCACCATAAGAGGAGATCCTCAAAAAGTAAGAGATTTGTAAAAGATAGACATGAATAAACTACTAAAAACTTGTCATTAAGTTCTAGATTTATGCAAGTAGTTAGTACTATACTTTCTTTTTGGAGTCAATACTCAACAGAGCAAAAACTCGTTTCTGGCTAGTAATTCATCAGCATTGACTCAACATAGTCTACAAATGTTTAAAAAGGGGTATGAAATGGTGCAGAGCAGCAATGGCAGATATCTACTCATGCTAAGTTGAAATGTCACTCATGTCTTAACATGGCTCTCCAAAGACTCTAGCACTCCTGGACTTTAAAGACCAAGTATCTTTTGGACATGATATGTGCGATGTAAACTCTTCCTCTAGAAAGCACAGGAGCAAATCTTAGGCATCTTTTAAGTCATACCCAAGTTCCACATTAACGATGGTTGGACACCACCGCAATGCTGTGAGAAAGCCACTTGTGACGCACGTTTCACTGTATTGGAAAAAGAATGCACGCTTCCAATTTCTGGCTAATTCTAAAGTTCTTCTCTAGTGTGTAGGGAGCAACCCTTTTTGAAGTCCCACTAAAGGAAAGGAAACAAAATTCTGCCTACGTGATTTTCACAAAGCATGCCCCTTCCAAGCCTAGTTACAGGAGGAGAGTTGAGGTAGGTTGATAACCAGTATAAAAATAGTCAAAATATAATTAGTCCTCTTGTTATGGTGGTGTAGTATCAAATAAGCAAGGGGTTCTATTGTAGTGTCATGTGAGTTTACAGGGAGTATAAGCTAGGTTTTCACACACAATTAAGTGGTGCAAAACAAATAGTCCCACAGATCAGTATCTGGATATGGTGCTAAATAGAAAATGATTCCTGCATCTTATTGGCTGATGGAGGTAAAAAAGCTAACCAAGAGAACGGAATTTGATTAGGTAGTTGGAACATAGTCATTGGAAAGTTAGATTAGTTTATACCTTAAAGAGGACAAGAGCTGATTTTACGTACGAGAGACGAAAAGGACAGAAAAAGGCTTGACATAGTGGCAACAAGACATAAATTACGGAATTATGGGATTAAACAAAAGCAGGAATGGAGTGCGAATCATCGTAGAACTACGACTCAGATAAACTTGTAGAAGTAAAGAAAATGGACCAAAGGATTATCTTGTTAAGACTAGTATGGGGAAAAGTGACAATCAACAATCGACATCATTAGTACAACTGCTCCACGAATAGGATTAATGAGGAAACTAAACCTAAGTATTGGAACAATATTGTTACACTGATCCAAATGCACATTTAGGTAGACCTACAAATGCACCTACCCATAGGCGATACTATGATAATTGAAATTACAAAAAAAAAAAAAAACGAGGTAAGATAGACCTGAAATTATATGCAAGGAAGTCGTCTCCAAAAAAGAAAGTCTTAAAATCCATACAGATTTAGATAAAACAGGACATAATGTAAGCATAGGATCCATATAAGCAATAGTAATTTGTTAGGAAAAGGCCCGTAAGATTGGTTAGGTTTCGTGTTTGTCAGAAGTCTTTTTAGTTTGTTTATATATTTTTAAGTCGGGAGGGAGAAGTCTGAGATAGAATCTCCTTTTAGAGAACCCATAATTTGTCTAGAAAAACAAATTATTTAGAACCTGAATGACATGACCTGAATAGAATGGAATGGATATAAAGGATTCATATAACCGACTCTTGAGTTAAAATAAAAAGGACTCGTACAACCGGTCAACTAGTTAGACGTAGCTAATAAATGTATACATTGATCCAATAAATCACAAAAGACTAACACGTCTTTACCAAGGATCTGAATGGACATATAGATGGGTAGATATAATGACTGTCTTGACCGTGAAAGAACCTTTTTTTTAAACAAGAAAATTAATTTATGATTTAGCTTTTACTACCACCTACATATTTAAATAAATAAAATGAGTAACAATCCCCATCAGAGACTAGTACGATTCAATTCAACACTTTGTTCTTCGGGTATTGATTATGTCGTAGCTCTATAATTTGGATTAAGTTTATCGTTAGATGAACCACATTGTTGATATTGATCCCAAAAAAGGACAATATTAGAAAATGAAATTGTGATCTGTTTCTAGTGGGGTATTTGAAAGAAATAGATTACTTAGTAAATAAAACGCTAGACAAACGGTAAGCTAACACCAACACAATCATGAGAAAAAAGTTCTTGCAACTACGACAACTACAACAACCTCAAAGAACAGACGCTTTGACAGTTAAATTTTTTATATAGCTCCAATTCACAAATTTTATGAAAGGAAGCTCTTACTTTCATATTTCTCATTGATTACCTTAATTCTGAATCTATTTCAATTTGAGAGCAAACCTAATCATAACCAATAGACTTCGAACTTACCAAAAAATTACTGAGTCCTGAGCATGAGACTTTGAAGCTAAAATAGATATCATGTAAAGGAAATGACAACTTGCAGTAACAAGGTGGTAAGTGAAGCTTTAGGTGTGTCAAAAGACCTAGGACCTCGATAACAAGAACCGTGGTGGTAAATAAAGAGGTGTATAAAGTATTACTGCACGTCCTTGGGACATGGGAGTCCTTTTATTTTGATCAGAGACTTCTAGGATGTTTACGAATAAGTATTGAGTTTTAGAAAACCTCTACTATGAAAAGAACCCTTCATTCCCAAATCTGTGTACCTTTATGCTGTTTCCGACACTAACAACCAGTCGATACTGTGTCTTGTCTTACTTAGCTTACTCTTAAAAACCCACAAAGTAAAGAAGACTTGTGCCAGTAAATGGGAGGGGAGAGTTGAGCTTCATGCAAAAATAGCAGATCAAAATAACATACCAAGTATAAAAGTGCTGGTTGAGGCGAGTGGGTCAAAATACCAGCTGCTAAGGCAGTAACCAGTCCAACTGAATATCCTGATAAGGCATACCAGATGTACTTAAACCCCTTTGGAGATGATATATCCTCCTTTGGAAGTGGTATATCCAAGATGCTTCCGGAGTCCCTGCTCTTTCTATGGTCAAAACAGAAAACTAATGCTAAAAGCATAGAGGGAATAGCCTGAAAATACATATAACAAACGAAAGCTTAGTCAACGTCAAATTGTTTAACAACAAAGTAATAGTAGTATCACGTCCGGAAGGACTAATCACAAACAAGAGAATCTGTAGGATCAACTTCATGTGTTCACTTAACACGTAATAATGGAAATGTGTATACATGTATATGCACTCACCCTTTGCTACCGAACCTTGAATGCTAGGAAACTACCTTTGAAAGCAATTTCTTTTTTGATGACGGTGGTGTCCGGGCCAACTTGCGCGTACCTTGACTATTCTACCGGGTACCTGCTATCACAAACCAGCACAGGTACCGGGCAACTTGGATTACTCTGCCCACCAAGATTTAGGCAGATGGGAAGAATGCACCTGGTGTTTTTGTTCCGACAGAGGTGCACAGAAATCCAGGAATTTGGGGAAAAGAAAAGAGAGGTCGTGAGATTTTAAGCCTGGGTCATTTTTGGTTCACTGTCAGCATAAATATTCTTTGCACAAACACAATTATTACTAGACAAACATGTAGTGTGTTGTTTGGTGGTGAAAGTTGCATGGCACAATGTAGGATTAGGGAGAAAAGTTATATTGATCTTATCCCAATTTATATGACATACTAATATTTATTTGCTGCATCTCCCGATGTGTTTGACACAGTAGTAATGATAATACAGTTCCATATAACTTCCACAAATTTAAGGCCCCGTTTGGCCATGAGTTTTGTCAAAATAAATTTCGAATTTATTTTCAAAACTCATGTTTGGCCATAAATTTTGCCCATATTTTGGCCAAATTCCAAATCTCAAAATCAGCTATTGAGCTTATTTTGGGCCAAAATCACAAAACTTGGGAATTATATACATGTTTTTCCAAAATAAAGTTGGAAAATATGTTTTGAAAACGTATGTCCAAATACATTTTCATCTTCAAACCAAACTTCACCCAAATCAGATTTTTCAAAATAAATTTGGGATCTATGGCCAAACGCTAGCTAAAACTACTACTTTAAGAGCCCGTTTGGACATAAGAATTTTTTCACTTTTTTTCGAAAATTTTTCACTTTCTTTCGAAATCAGTGTTTGGCCATAAAATTCCAATTTAGATAAATTTTAGAATTTTTCGAAAATTTGAAAACTCCAAAAAGCTGTTTTTCAAAATTTTCACTCAGATCACTCACAAAACTTCAAAAACAACTCAAAATTATATTCATGTCCAAACATAACTCTAATTTTCAAATACCATTTTCACTTTTTTTTGGAATTTTATAATTCTTATGTCCAAACGCCCACTAAATACTATTGATTCTACAAGCAACGCACTATACCCACTTCATCGATTACACTATGTAGACACTAGATGTGTATGATATAGTATAGAAAGTAGCATGTAGCACTTTGTTGCATTTGCATACATACCTAATAAAAGAATGCAGTTGCATAAACAAAACCAGTAAATTTGAACCCCCTCCCCCTCCCAAAAAATGATAAAATGAAAAAAATATATTGAAGAGTAAAGAAGTCAACTAGAAGCTTAATTTACTTATGACCAAGAAAACGAGAAAAGTGAGTGGCAATGAGGAAGAAGGTATACACAACCCAAGAAAGCAACAAAGTAAGTTCCAAACTTGCTACACCAATGCCAATGTTAAAATCCCTGCAAGAAACAGGCGAATCATTTCTCTTGCTTATCTTGTCTACACCCAAAAGATTCACTTAACCAACAGAAAAGTATCTGAAATCCCAAGGCCCTAAGCAGTTACCACTGTTCTAATCATATGCATCCCACTTCCTCAATACACCTTTGAGTAAGCACTACACTACCGTAGCTTACCCTATATTGGAAAAAGTCCCGTTGTTCATCGCACCAGCTAACTCATCTAGACTTTTAGCAACTGCAATGCATGGTTCAACAACATACAATTTTCTTATTTCCCCTTTTATTTTAATATTATGTTGTTGAGTGTGTGGATGAAGACAGATTACTACCTGAACATGAAACTTTGTGCCTGAACTGGATATGGTTCAACTATGCACAACTACTGATGTCTTTATTTGTAAACAAAGATCTTTTGGGGAATTTAGGGAATTTCAAGCATCAATATGCAAATATCTTCTTATGATTGAGGACAACATTTATCACTGAGAAGAATTGAAGTGTTACATTTTGTGCCTCCCCCTCTATATATTTTTACACTGACAAAAATAAGGTGCAAAACAAGAGCAGTATAGAGGGAGATATTAACTAACACTTGTACTTATTTCACAAAAAGGAAACATATTTACCATGTCACCAAGACCCAGCATCATGAAGTCAGCAGCAGAATTTCCAGGCACTATCCCACCCAATAAATTCCTGGGGAACACAATCTTGACAGGCAACTCTAGTTTTTTGGTTATCAACCGCAATCCTGGAAGGCTCAAACTATTAGCCACCGTGTGTACAGGATTGGATGCTTGCTGAGTTGCCACGGACACCATGACGTTTGCGCCAAAGAATCTCTCGGAATAGAAAACCCAAAATATGTCATACACAAACAAGCAGACAAGGAGCATTGCACATATTTTAATGTTAGGAAGACGAACATGGCTCACAAAAGCAATACAAAGAGAGATGCCCAACAAATTATTCAGTATCCAATGCCCAGTGACAAGCCACGCTATTACCGTGCCAACGCATAGCAACATCAAAAGCCCTTGGATCCTAGTAAAAGGCTTGGAACAACATCGAGATACAAAAGGGTCGCCTAAACCGAACTGAGACTTGATTTGGGCAATATAAGGGAATAGGCAAAAGTAAAGAGACGATGCCGAGGCAACTGCAGTAAATGCCGTGAGGATCTGTGAGACAGAAGAGAACAAATAGAACATCATAAGCAAGCTGCAAGAGCTCACTATTGGAATCATAAGAGCCTGAGACCTGTCTAAGGTGATCGATGCTTCAGATAAATCACGATTTTTCTCCATCTCTTTGCCATAGTTTAGAGCTCGGAATGCAGATCCATATGACACAGCTATGGCAGTCAGAATAAGAGCAATGGGTGCTGGTTCAAGCAAATAAGCTAACTTCCACAAAGGCTCCATCTTTTAACAAAGTTTCACACTTTTCCTAATTCTGCCTGTAAACCCTTCCTTTTCAGAACTAATAACGTTAAAAACCAAACACTTTTCCTTGTTTCATGAACTCAAAGATACTTTGTAGAAATCCAATAACCTGAAAGGACAAAAAATTAAACTGATGAAATTTCATTCGGCATTATATGAATAAAGACAGTGCCAGAAAGTTAATAATTTGAACAAATCAATCCATATATTATTTTTTATATTTTTAATAAAAGGGTCCATAGATTCATTTTAACATAGCTTCATTAACAAGATGAAATAAACTTTATCTGATAACACGTAATCGGCACCGACAACTATACTTTCGGTTACACAATCAACTAAAGGCAAAAGAATACCCCATGAACAGAGGTTTGATGATAATAATTCTGAAAATGCAATGACTTATATAAAAAAAAATTGGGGTTTTCTTTTACAGTGAATTCAGGAGATCTTCTAATGTGGACTTACCTTGGACTAGAAGAATTTGACTGAACTCGTCTTTGTAAACAAAACCCCAAAATTCCTCTTCTTTATCGAACGTGTTTCGAGTTTCGACAGCTCTGATTTCTAAACGATTCAGTGAATCAAGTGACTTGCTATTGTGAATGAACGGGAATATCTTTAGTGCCCAATTTAGCAATTGGGCTCATCTACTTTGGACATATTGTACAATGACCCTGTAAAAAGAAATATCTGTCATATTAGCCAACGTATTCAAGCCTTTCCAATTTTTGGCTGAATCTCTTGCTAATTGCTATAATAATAATAATAATAATAATTATTATTATTATTATTATTATTACTACTTTATTATTATAATGGGAATGAATTTTTATAATCATTTAAAAGATACATTTTCTAAAAATATTTTGAAAAATATTCATATAATTAAAACCAATTTTATTTTTATCCTACAGAATAAGTTAATGTTTAAATTCTATTTTTAGAACATGATTCCATGAGACCTTTATAGGATAAGAGAATACCATAAATTTGTGGTACTTTATAATAATTATTTTATTTTTTTACCCGTAAATGAAAAGATAAAATCTTTAAAGTAGTCCATGAGATATTAAATATCTTCATGTCACATTCTGAAAAGGTTGAGTGTATAAAATGACTTATGTCTAGTTTAAGGAATAACTTATTTATTTTGCCATAAAAGATAAAGTCAATAAAATAGTCCATGAGAAATTAAATATCTTCATCTCATATGCTAATTTAGCGATAAGTTATGCAACTTCTATTTAATAGTATTTAAATTTGCAATAAGGACATCAGTTAAAATTTGCAATGATATCTAAAAATGTGGAATAGCTATTTGGCATCGATTTTTTTTTTTTTTTTAATAATTAAGGTTTCTCAACACAACAAATTTGTGATCCATTGGCATGATGTAAGTTGTAAGTTGTAACCAAGGGTGTCGTTGTTTGAAAACTAGCAGCATTGCACGGCTCTTATGAAACCTGTATTATAAACCATTCTATTAACAACGTCCGAAATATTTGAAAAGGCACTTTAGAAGATAAAAGTGACTGCTAAATCACTAAATTGAACTGAAGGACTTAGTAAGTAGGCGTTTGGACATGAAAATTAGTTGTATAATTTTTGGAAAAAAAATGGTAGTATTTGAAGTTAAGTTGAAAAATGGTATTTGAAATTATGTATGAATATGCATTTCACTTGTAAAAATGTTACGATTTCATGAGTGGAGAAAAAAAAAATCTGAAAGTTTTGAAAAAATGGTAATTTGAAAAACTCATTTTCAATTTTTTTTTTTAAACTTAGAAAACTTTATGGACAACACATTTTAAAAATAATCTCTTTTAAAGATTTTTTTAATGCACAAACGGGGCCTAATAGTTGAAAAAATAGAGGAAACTACACAATCCACCTATGGGGCAAAAATTAATTACCCATTTCTGCCCATAAAAAAATTATTTAAAATCTCTACCCATTTGATCCAAATATATTTCCCGGCAACCCATTCCTGTTTCTCCCTTGAATTCGTTTTGTCTGAATCTTAAATATTCAGATTTCAGACATTAAGTGCGTCTGTCTTTAAAGTCTGAATCTTAATTATTCAGATCTTAATCATTAAGTGTGTTTGTTTTTTTTACTTCACAACCACTTAACGGGTCTGTATGATTAAGATCTATAACAGAGACTTAATTTCATTAAGATGCTATCATATATTCATTATTAACTGCCGTTGCCGCCTACCATTATCAACTACCACCATGTCGCCGCCACCACCATACTCAACCATCACAACCACCACCACCTCTGCCACCACCAACACCACCGCCACCACCATACTCAACCATCACCACCACCACCACCTCTGCCACCACCAACACCACCGCCACCACCACGCCACCATCATCCTTAATCATAGCCTCCACTATCGACCATCACCACCTACTATCCCCGCCACTCCGACCACCATCATTCTCGCCCACAATCAACACTAATCCGCCTCAACTACCACAACTGACCACCCCATCACCATCAACAACCACAACCGACACTGCCCATCAATATAACTACCACCACCCACTCACCACCTTCCTCAATCACAACTACTACCACCACCCGACATTATTAACTATCACCACCCACCACCACTATCCTCAATCATAATCGCCATCACTACCAATCACTACTAGCTACTAGCATGAACCACCATCATCAACCAAAACTACCACCAACCCACCACCTCTAGTCGGCATTCATCCGTTAGCTATCACCACCAACAACTATCATATTTTAAAAACCCATATATTTTATTGATAGAATATTAGATTAGTTAGTATTTCATTTGAATTTTATGTTTATTAATTTTCAAATAAAGATAAATTTTATACATTCAGATGTTAAAAATCAAACAGTCTTAATTATTTATATTCAGATATTAATACACATCTTAATATATTCAGATGTGTATTCATATCCAGATGTCTTAATCTTAATATACATCTTGATATTCAGATGTGTATTCAAATTCAGACATCTTAATCTTAAAAAAACAAATGAGGCCTTACCCAACATACCAAACAGTGCATTCCCCCTTTTACTTAAACCCCCTTGCTTTCTCTTTGTGAAAAAGTATGAAATTCATTCAATAGTTCAATAAGTTGTCTTCGTTAATGTTGCGGTAAGGGTGGCAAACGGTCCGGGCCCGGGCCTAAACGGGCCTCGTGGGCCGGTCCTAAGTGGGTCGGTTCTATGAGGGCCCGCGCTTCGTGGGTCGGGCTTAAACGGTCCCGGACTTCGTGGGCTTTTGGATGTAACCGAACCGGGACTGGGACCACGAACTAATGGTCCCGGGCCCAAACGAGCCTAAGTGGGTCTGACCTATTTTTTTTTTAATTTTTTTTTAACTAAGGCAATTTCTTGTAAATTATATAGCTTATATATATATATATATATATACACACACACACACACTATGTACATGGCTTATATGTGGGCCTGGCTTTTTAAAACAAAAAAAAATTTAAGGCAATTTTTTGTGAATTATATATATATTATATATACTATATCCATATATATAATATACATATATACTATATAAATTGCTTATATGTGTGTGTGTATATATATATATATA